ACATGCTGTGTGAGTTCGCCAGGTAATGCTGTGTGAGGTAGACATCTCCCACGACGCTGTTGCTTTGTGATGTAGACACGCACTATAATATCATTATTTTGTGAAAAGTGTTATTCTTATCAAGGCATGCTAATTTATGAAGTTTCGTGAAAATTGTTTATTATAAAAGTTGTCGTTCATGCATGAAAACCGTGGATTCACTGGGCCTAAGGCTCACCCAAAACTHTTTTAAAACTTTTTCACCCAGGCGGCTGTTAGACTGGAAAGAAAAGTTGGATAAAGAGAGAAATAATGATTAACATCAAAGAAGGACATGTGCAGATCAAGGCATTGTTATATCGAACAAAGTATGTTCGTCAAGATTGTAAGTTTAGATGGTGATATAAATTGTAAGATTAGAAATTTTATTTTCGCTGCAATGTAAGTGTTTGATCTTGGAATACTAATTTTGATATATTTAAGTATTTGAAATTTTGGGATCTCACAGCCTTCCCCCACCCCTTATCCACCTCATGCTACCCACATGCACACTCACACATACATACATAGCACATGCATGCATCAAATGAATATATATATATATATATATATACCATGTATTTCTAAATACATATATATATATATATATATATTCAAATAATACTCAACTTCACATACTGGCATGTATTGATTTATCATGCAATCACGTAATCATTTATTTAAATAATCACGTATTAAATACCTTGGGTAATAACCTGGATCCGGTTATTACACTCTCTTTCAATTTCTAAAGCCATTTGAAATTATTTTCAAGTTGACTAATCACAAAATGATCTTTATACAGTTCAAAGCTTAGAGAATCCAAAAAACAAATCTTATTGGACAACCAAACCAACTTTATCGGACACCAAGTTATCACCCAACAAGGTTATCGGACAACAAATATATCGAGCAAACCCTTTATCAGTCAAAACACTTATCGATCAGCTCAGTTTATCAAACAGGCTTTATCACACAAAGCCTTATCGGTCACCTTTATCAGTTGCAATTTCTTATCAATCAACACTCCTTATCAAATAGATTTTATCCGGAATCAATCCTTTATCAGACAAACTTTGTCCGATCAAAACTCGAGTTATCACCCAAGACTTCAAATCGCACACAATACCAAATCATTAAGACAAGATATCGGGCAACACAATATTCAACAAGCAATGAAAATTTCTTATCGCGTGATGAAGATGTTCATCAGGCGTTGAAGAAGAATCTTAGACAAATATTCCAGAATTCAATTCAAGACACTCAAAATTACACCAAATTGAATAAAATTCACATAGATCAATTCACAAAACGATTATGAACAAGTTTCCAATACCAATTTCAATCAGAAACAGATCAAACTGATCAAATTTTATGAAAGATTCAAGAACAGATTCAAGAACATTCAAGACTCAAAACATCAAAAATTCAAACTTGATCCTTGAAATCAATTCAATTTTGAAATTGAATGAATCTACTCAAATCCAATTGAAAATATGCACACAATACAATCAAAACAATCATCAAAACTCAAATTATATTATGTAAAATCAAATCAAAACAGTGACTAAAACGTTATGATCAAGAACAGTCCAAAATTATCCAAAAATATAGTCCGATTCAATCCAATTTGATTTCTAAGCTGCTGTAACTTGCTCTGATACCAATTGATAATCCCAGTTATGGATTAATCAATACACAAATCTCTGATTCAATGATCAACAATCAAGAACAACTATTATGAATGTAGAGAGAGTAGAGAATTTGTTTAAGCGCCAATTGTATTCCAAAACAAAGATTACAAAAGAGTAATATTACAATACGTATCTTATACACAAACTAACACTAAAGCACCTATTTATACAACAAGGAAAGCACAAAAGCATAAAGCTTGGATACAACAGATTTAGGTACAAAACTTGGACCTAACAATATGAACCTTGTAAATACATTATGAACACCCTAATAAAAAAAACTTAAGATTGTTTATGTTGTGTTCATTGTATGTAATTTAATTGTACATATATAGTTACTGTATGTTTACTTTATGTACACATTTAATTGTACATGTACATGTTACGGAGAGTTTTGACAAAGGGGGAGAGAGAAAGAGATATATGAAATTCTTAAAAAAAATGCATTAAACTTTATCAAATAACAATCATCATCACTTCAATTATTTTAAGTTGGTGATTTATGATGGACATCAGGAATGTCACAACTTTTAAATTTTTAAATAATTATATATATATATATATATATATATATCAATAACACATTTTTAATATTATTAATTTGATTTAAATACAAAATTATTTTGTATTCCATTAAGATTCTCTTATTATGGCCACACCATCATTAATTAATGACGTCTCTCTTGTAACCAAATAGTTTAGCGTTTCCTCTATTGAGTAATCTTTGCTTTTTCAATTAATGTTTAACCGTATTTAATTTGTAGAAACTATAATTATACGAGTTGCATTATTCACAACTTCATGTAAGAATGATACATATTTAAAAAATTGAGAGAATAATTTTGGATCAATCATTTAATTAAATATCATCTTAAATAATTAATTTTTAAAAATCAATTTTTAAAAAAAATCATAATTTTCGTCAGAATCAAATGTGATTCACAATTAATTAGTTTTTTTTTTTTACAAAATGGTATCCTAATCATATGCGTAACATTCCATAATTACATTTGCATATAAACATATATTTTTATATATGAAGAAATACAACTTTACATATTCTGTTCCAATATCTACAAAAGCTACATTACAATGTAGCTACCAAAATTTTCCACAAAATATTTATACAAACTTGTATAAATATCAAGTATTCCAAAAATTGAAGATAACATGTTATCCTAAACATCTTATGCAAGAAAAAATAACTCTTTATAATTTCCTTTTCCCCTTATCCTCCGGTTGTGTCTGACTTGTACTACCCATTTTCAAAACACCAAAATGAGGGTTAGACCTTGAGGTCTGGTAAGAAATCCATTTGTTGGCAATTACAAGGTGAAAAATCACCAAACATATTTATAAACTCATGTTTATAATAATAACAAATAAAACACACTTTAATAAAAGAAACTCTTTTGTCGCATCTAAAAGACGAGACATCACCAATTTATCGCATCAATTAACCCAATAACTCATTTAACACATTCTGATAAAACGTGTCGCACCATATAT